AGTTTAATGAAACACAAGAATAGAATGTAGATCTCGTTATGATTCTCAAATCATTAACGACAAAACAAGGAATAAAACCAGGATTTCTATCTTTGTGAAAAAGGTGTTGGTTATAGATTTGTTGTTGACAAAACTCTTGTCTATTCAGCTGTTATGGTCCCAGCTGGATTCGTCTGCATATCTGGCAACCTGAGTCAGGGAGAGTGGGAGAGGCTGCAGTACCACTTTTGGCCACATGTTTACACACTGCTCCTTTAAAGAAAACTTCTGAAAATAAATGGTAAAAAAATATATAAATAAAATACAAAAACAGAGCTTCCACAGAAATGCATTTTTAAGAGTGAGACTTGACCCAGAATATTCCAGAATGAAAGAGTGAATTCCCTGTTTCTTAAGCCTTTATTTAAACAAAATAACAACAAATTCAGTCTTAGCTCCTCCCTAAGTTCTGTTTTGGAGCCGGATTATTACCGTCAGAGGAAGACAAAGCTCAGGAAGTTCAAAGTCATTTAGACGTTTCATCTCGCAGCGTTTTAACAGACGCAGGATCGAGATCGAGGACTCGGCGAAAGAATCACCAATTACTCTACGTCCAACTAATCAGCAGCCAATCAGAGAGCAGCGAGAGAGACCGTGTGGCGAGGACGAACCGGCGCCTAATCAGGAGAAAGAAGAGAGCGTTAATGGACTGAAGGAGACCGAGGTTTGAGAAGCAAGGACAGTGTGTGCGTGTGTGTGTGTGTGATTGTGTGTGTGTGTGTTGGGTGTGGGGTGTGTGTGGGGTGCGCTGTGTGCGTGTGTGGCGTGTGTAGGGTGTGCGTGTGTGCCGCGTGCGTGTGTGTGTGGGTGTGTGTGCGTGTGCGTGTGTGTGTGCGTCTGTGTGTGTAGGTGTGTGTGGGTGTGTGTGTGCGTATGTGTGTGTAGGTGTGTGTGGGTGTGTGTGTGTGTGTCTGTGTGTGTGTGTGCTGTGTGTGTGTGTGTGTGTGTGTGTGTGTGCGTCTGTGTGTGTGTGGGTGTGTGTTGAAATGGTGTGGAGAGAGTGGTAAAGTTTGCCGTGTTTGGAGGTTTGGACTAATGGCGAAGAAGACCACAGAGTGTGAAACTAAACTTCTGAATTTCAGAGAGAGAGAGATGAGAGAGACCAGAGAGAGAGACCAGAGGGAGAGACCAGAGGGAGAGACCAGAGAGAGACCAGAGAGAGACCAGAGGGAGCGACCAGAGAGAGACCAGAGGGAGACCAGAGAGAGACCAGAGAGAGACCAGAGAGAGACCAGAGAGAGACCAGAGAGAGACCAGAGAGAGACCAGAGGGAGCGACCAGAGAGAGAGACCAGTGACTAAAAACGCCAAAGTCAGAAACATATGAAAAACTAGTGTTGGAAAAAAAGAAAAGGAACAAGTTGGATTCTGTTCATGGAGGATTTATTGTTTTGTTGTAGTTTAAAAACTAGGTCCCCGCTTTATGGAACAGCATTACCAGACAAACAAAACCTTTCCCCAGTCTCCCTCCCCCTCCCTCTCTCCCCTTCTATCCCTCTCGCTCCCTCTACCCCTCCTCTCGCCCCCTCCCCCGTTACCTATCCCTCTCTCTCCCCCTCTCTCTCCCTCTCTCTCCCCCTCTCTCCTCCCCCCACAGCCGGCCCAGGCCATTAGCCGCTGCAGCAGCATGTTGCTAGCTCCATGCAAATAAGTGTGAAATTGGGCTGTAATCAGTCATGTAAATCGCTGTTCGCGTCGGAGACAATCTGGGCTCAGCTGTTTGTGGCGTTGTGGTCGTGTTCAGCAGGAGCCAACAGAAAGGGGGAGGAGGGGGGAGGAAGGGAGGAGGAGGCTGTGGGGGAGGGGGGAGGAAGCAGTTTTGGTGACTCAAACACTCACACAATAATGGGATGTTTATATTTACATATTGTTCCATTGGATTTTACACTAACACAAAATCAATAGGACCAGAAGGAGAGAGACCAGAGAGAGAGACCAGAGAGAGAGCAGAGGGAGAGAGCAGAGAGAGAGCAGAGAGAGAGACAGAGAGAGAGACCAGAGAGAGAGCAGAGGGAGAGACCATGAGAGAGACCAGAGAGAGACCAGAGAGAGAGACCAGAGGAGAGACCATGGAGAGAGACCAAGAGAGAGAGCAGAGGGAGAGACCAGAGACCAGAGAGAGACCAGAGAGAGACCAGAGAGAGACCAGAGAGAGAGACCAAGAGAGAGAGACCAGGAGAGCAGAGGAGAGAGCAGAGAGAGAGACAAGACCAGAGAGAGACCAGAGAGAGAGACCAGAGGGAGAGACCAGAGGGAGAGACCATGGAGAGAGACCAGAGAGAGACCAGAGGGAGAGACCAGAGAGAGAGACCATGGAGAGAGACCAGAGAGAGACCAGAGGGAGAGAACAGAGAGAGACCAGGGAGAGACCAGAGGGAGAGAACAGAGAGAGACCAGGAGAGACCA